GAATAAACTGCTGGAGGGGTACAATGAACTATTAAACTTGAAAGAAATCCTCGCTTCAGCTCCTAAGTTAAGAGAGATGGTGAAGGCTAGGTTATCACGCCGGAGAGTAGCCCCGGTTCGAATGGGGGATTTAATTCCCAAAGAGGCAAACTGGAGCGTGACAGGGAGTAAAATGGACTGGAAATTCGTAGGCACAGGGGCCATTGATGTTATGATAAAGAGAAAGATGTGTCCTGGGATGGTTGATACCGGGGCGGAAATGAATATTGTAAATGGAGAAACCGCGGTAAAACTAGGGTTGGAGGTGGATGAGAATGATTGCGGGTTCCTCAACGGAGCCAGTGGCAAGACCGGATACACAGGGGTCGCATCAAATGTGGTCATAGAAATGGGAAGAGTCAAGGTACGTACGTGCTTCTACGTCATGTCCAGCTTGGACCTTCCAATATTGCTGGGAAGGTCGTTCCTGTGCAGATCTGAATCACTCATTATGAACAAGCATGACGACACTATGTTCGTCATCTTGTGCGATCCTGCCTGTGGGAACTTCGAGGTTATCACTTGTAGGAACACAGACCCGCACAACTCGAAGAACAGGCTCAATGCAGGATCTTACACGTTCGAGAAATCTGAGAGTAGGAGGAGAGAACTGGAATGGGAAGAAGAAGAAGAGGGGTCAGATGATGAAGAAGCCAAGGGACTTGTATTAAGTCTAACAAATATCAGTGACGCGATGAAACTGGTATCGGCTTATAGAATGACTGATCCGGACGCAGTCAGGGCACTCGCAGAAAGGATCCAAGAGGATCCAGAAGGGGGAAGAGTCGATCTCGTTTACAGACCGCCTCCTTCTTCTCAGATGATAGTGCCGCATGCGCCAAATGCTCAAGCTGCCGGCCAGCATTTTTTAGGGGTGGGCTCAAGCAGGGCTCCAAAAGGAGATACAAGACGGTAGATAAGAAGAGTCACCCTGTGCCAGTTCTAGTAAGTCAAGAAGAAAGGGTGTATTATGATCAGGAAAGAGAATTGATACAGCGAATAAGGGAAGGCATCCAGAACGGGCCTTGTCGTATCGACGATGAAACTGAGAAAGAACTGATAATAGGGGAACCTGACTTTCTGACAAGGCAAGAGGAGGACTTCGTAAAAGAACTGATACGTGAAAAACATGGGGCATATGCCTTCAACGATGATCAACGTGGGAGGCTGGATGTGGACAAGATAGAAATGATCCGCATTCATACTGTACCTCATGAGCCATGGAATGTCCGAGGAGCTAAGTATCCCAACCCTGAGGATCGCAGAAGGGTGGTAGAGTACCTAGATGGGAAGATCCACACGAATGTGGCAGGGTACTCCAGTGGACCGTATGCCTCTCCCTGGTTCTGTTTTGTAAAGCCAAATGAAGTTCTCAGATGGGTGCAAGACCTCTAACGACTGAACGCGGTAACTGTAAGGGATGCAGGAGGTTTGCCCAATGCTAACCAGTTATCAGAAGCTTGTGCAGGTAGGTCGATTGTGTCCCTCATCGACCTCTACTCTGGATATGATCAGTTTTCGGTCTATCCGGCAGACCGTCCCATCACGGCGATGCACACGCCAATGGGATTAGTCCATATGAATGTTGCGCCGCAAGGATAGACCAATGCGGTGACCATGGTACAACGGAGCATGATCAGGGTTATGCAGCCAATCAGCCCTCTGATCACCGAGCCGTACATAGATGATCTTGCAGTTAAGGGCCCGATTGAGAAGGATGAGTCAGAAGTGGCTCTAAGGGTGAGAAAGTTTGTGTGGGAACATGTTCAAGGGTTAAGAGGAGTCTTATCTCTACTAGAAGAGTACAACCTCACCGCCAATGGTGTAAAGTCAAGACACTGCGTGAAAGAGGTAACCATTCTAGGATACATTTGCAACGAGCATGGTCGGCGCCCTGATAAGAAGAAGACCAATAAAATCCTGGAATGGTCTACTCCTTTCATAAATGTGGGTGAAGTCCGAAGTTTTCTTGGTACCTATGGGTTCTGAAGAAGATTCATAGAGAGATTTGTTAGTAAAACAGAGCATATAAGGAAGCTAGTCCGGAAGGATCAAGAATGAGAATGGGGAAACCATCAAGAGGAAGTGGTGGAGGAATTGAAGAAGGAGTTTAGAGAGGGAGGTCTGGTACTAGGGGTACGAGACTTTGATGCAACTATGGAAAGGTCCTTCATAGTTGAGACTGGCGTTGGACCAACCGCCCTAGGAAGCGTCTTGATTCAGGCAGACAGTGGAGGAAAGGAGAGGCCGTTGAGGTTTGAAAGCAGGACACTGAACTCTGCCGAAAGGAACTACTCGCAGTTTAAAAGGAAGCTTTGGCAGTCCTGCACTGCCTAAGGATCTTTAGGCACTACCTCTTTGGGAGGAGGTTTGTACTTAGGATCGATACTACGACACTTGTGTACTCACTCAAGAATTTCTCGCCCTCAGATCCGACCATAGCCAGATGGCTCACCTATATCTGGATGTTCGACTTCCAGTTAGAGCGGATCCCTGGAAACAAGAACAGGGCGGACGGCATGAGCAGAATTGAGTGGGGAAATCAGGGAGAATCTAATTAAGAGACGCCTCCGGTTGACGGGTTTTTGGACGAAGGGGAAGACATGCGAACTCACGTAAACTGTTGGTTCATGTTTGTCGAGAGTAAGGAAATGAGGAGAGGAAATCCGATGTGGCATCCACCTCCCGAATTTATGAGAGAGCCTTCCCTGATACTCCCGCCATTAGAGGAAGAGGACTCTTGGGGCGAAAGAAACACGGAATGGATGATGGCGCTGGCTCTGGCAGAGAACTATAGGATAATGGATGAACCGCGAACGATTGAAGCGGGAGTCCAACAGACTGACGAACGGGTAGCCATGATGGGAAGAATGTACTACCTGACAAATTCACTGTTACAAGTCCAAGCGAATGATGAAAGGGGAATAGTGAAGGCCGATGAAATAATTATTGGGGATGATTACGAGTTTGATGAAGAAAAGGAAGGAAAGTTTGAACAAGAAGAAATTTCAGAAGAATTCAGGGAAGAGGAGTATGATGGGTCCTATTTAGAAATGGGGTTGCTCTTCTCAGGAGATAAAAGAGAGAGAGAAGTAAGTGAAAAGACTCTCAGGATGAGAGACCACTATGTGGTAAGGGGTGACCACTTGTTTATCAGGGATAAGAAGGGGCCGCCGCGACGTGTCGTATGTGGGAGGAATCGTCAGATTGACATAGTAGCTGCATTGCACGATGGGATAGTCGGGGGACATCGGAATTTCGCGGCTACTTACAAAAAGGCGATGGAGCTCTACTACTGGGAAGGGATGTTTGAGATGACGCGAAAGTACTGTGAGTCGTGTGTAGCCTGTCAAATTCGATCGCCTATCAGGTACAAGGAACCCCTGCATCCTAGATATATCAAGGAAGTAGGGGCGGTTGTTCACCTGGATCTACTGGCTATGCCTCTAGGTCTTGGAGGATATAACTATATATTTGACGCCAGGGACAACCTTACAAGATTCGTTGGTGGCAGGGCAATCAGGAACAAGACCGGGACAACGCTGACGGATTGTATTAAGGAATATTATCTCAGATATCCTTTCGTATTGAAATTTACAATGGACAGGGGGTCTGAGTTCACATGTGGGGAAGTGAAAGAACTGCTGAAGGAATTGGGGGTCAATGGCAATTATACGACTCGGGCTCATCCACAGGCGAATGCACCGGTTGAGAGAGGCCATGGCACAATTACTAACTTACTGGCCAAATGGACCAGTGGGAAGCCGAATCTCTGACCAAAGTTCCTAAGAACAGTGTTCTTTGTAGAGAACATCACTGTAAAAAGGACGACCGGGTATGCACCTGCGACATTCTGGTATGAGCGTCACGCCACATTTCCTATCGAAAGCTTCCTGAAAACTTGGCGCAGACAGGACTTGGAGAACAACTTGACTTTGGAGGAACTGCTAGATCTAAGGGTAAGGCAGATCAGCGCCACTGAAGAAAGGGTGCAGGAGGCAGCTATGAACGTTGCAGACAGCAGAGGAAATGATAAAGAAAGGTGGGACAAGCTACCTAGAGTAAGACTCAAACCTCTACAAGTTGGCGAGACAGTACTACTCTACGATTCCTCTCTGGAAATGCAGTGGTCGCGAAAATTGGGCAAACGGTGGCTAGGACCATTCAAAGTCAGGAGACAGGGACTTCATGGGGCATATGAGCTGGAAGAGATGGATGGGACTCCAAGGAAGGACTGGGTCTCAGGGTCTAGACTGAAGAAGTTCCGAGTCAGAGAGGAGGTAAGCTCAGCTACGATACGAAAGCTTGGATAGATTAGGAAGGTATTTAGGCATACATATGTAAACCAGTTCCTATGCAGGTATGTACCCAATTGCCAAAGATTATGCTCATACATATATGGATACATATATGCATATACATATGTATATATATATATATCGTCACAAACAGAACTGCCCAGTAAACCATAGGCAGAGAGAGAGAAGAGGACAACAAACGAGGGGCTGTGGCAAAYTGTTTCGTCGGAGTTTAATATATATATATATATATATATATATATATATATATATATATGTATGTATGTGTACATACATGGATGCAGAGGGGTATAAGTGGGGATATGTGTGTGTATATACGCTCATGTATGTGTATATGTATATATATATGTATATATGATATATATATATATATATATGTATGTGTGCATATATGTAAGTATCTGATAAAGGAGGGCATTGTCAACTTATGTTTAACAAGGAATGTTGTCTTGGTGATAATCTGACCCTTGTACCTGTCATTTGCTCCTTCTCTGTATGCAGGCGTGAGCCCTGGAAAAGAAGAGGCCATGGCGCAGAGAGGAGCAATGGCAGGACCCTCTGGACCTGCCTTGAGAAAGGCAGGGCAGAGGAGGGAACATAGAAGCTTAAGGAACCTGGAGGAGTTGCCCATTTACAGGGCTGGAGACAGCCTGCGAGTTTTCCTGAGAGACCTTGAAGAGTACGCATTCAGGAGAGAATGAGGTGACAAGGAAAGAATTGCGAATGTGAGAGGAGCAGGAATGTACAAGAGGAGGATTGAAGGAATGGTGGCAGGTTGCATAAGGTGGAGGGTATGCAAGGTGAGACTATGGAGATACATGGGGGAATTCCCAATGGATGATGTGGAGGATGACTTGAGGTTTGATGGGACCAATCTGGAGGACTTTGTTGAGAGCTTGCAGCTGACCGCTGAGAGGGGCGAATGGAGCGAGGAGGAAAAGCGAAAGCAATTGATCGCAAGATCAGACAAGGACGAAAAGGGGGAGGTAATATGAATTGTGGAAGGGAGTCGGACCTGTAAAAGGATAACGGCAGAATTATGGATGGCCTACACCCAGGCTAGGCAAGATCAGATAAAGAAGAAAAAACTACAAAAGAAGGGGTTATGGATTGGAAGGGAAGTGACTGAGCCGCAGGGGGAGGAGGAAGAGAATGAAGAAGAGGATAATGTATCTCTGAAGAAGTTGAAGAACAAGGCGAGGGTCTCCCCCAAAAGCGACAGCAAGGAATCTGAGCAGGCTGAGGGAGGTGAACAGGAAGAGGAGGAGGCAGCAGAGGAGAGGAAAAGAAGCATGGGGGCCAGTATGGTACCAAGGAAGAAAAAACTTGGAAAGAAAAGGGCAATTGAGAATGGGAGAAGAAAGGTACAGGAAAGGGTGAGTGAAAAAGGGAAAGGAGTGGAAGAAGCTGAAGAGGGAAAGGAGGTCCAGGGAGGAGGCAAGGCTCCCAAGGTCAAGAGAACTGAGGGAAAGAGGCCGATTGGGGAAAAGGAAGAGACAAGTGGGATAGGAAAGAAGGAAGATGAAAAGGATGGTGAGATGGAGAAGTTGATGGAAGATATGGAAGGAATGAGGAAGGAAGTGAAGAAATTGAAAAAAGAGGAGGGATTGCAGAAAGAAATGAGCCAATTGAGGGTCACCCTGAATGTGCGGAGCAGAGAAAACTGGAAGAGGAAGTGGTCACAAGAGGTAAGATGGAAATAAGGATGGATGGTCTGGTTTCTGAGGTCAGTGTGCTTGGGCAGGACTTGGACAAGAGTGGGAGAAAAAATGAGAAGAGATATTGAGAGGAATTGAGGGATTCAGATTGAGCCAACAGGGGAAAGAGAAGGAAGCCACAGTGATGGTGGGAAGAAAAGGGGGTGAAGAGAAAGGGGCACAGACTGAGGAGAAGAAAGAAGAGCCTCCTGCACCAGAAAAGGGAGTAAGTGAGAGTGTGGCTATGCCTCTGCCAGGACAGGGTAAGAGGCAAAGGGAATCCCAGTTGGACTCACCAAAGGTGGCTGAAGATCAGGCTGAGACTTCAATCCAGCCAGACATAAAGAGAATCAAGCCTAGCATGGTTGGACAGAGATGTTTCTTCTGCGCTCAGGAAGGGCACCTCAGGGATGAGTGTTCCATTCTAGCAATTTATATAAAGGAAGGAAAAACCAAGTATGACAGTCGTAAGAGATTGGTGGCCGGCACAGGGCAGACCATTCCCAGGATACCTGAGGGAGGCAGAGTAGCACTTCATAGGATACTGGGACTGCCAGTTGATTTCTGGGTAAGAATAGATAGATGTTTTAAGTAAACTATGAGTTGAATTGGCTTAAAGGACAGAGAAAGGTGTAAGTTAGAGCAAGGGGATATGTGTTTTCTTCTTCAGTTGGACATAGGAAACAGGAGTGGGACAAGTTGTGTACCTTCTTCATTCAGACGAGGAAACTTAGCATAGGAAGTAGTATGGGAAATAACATGAGAGGTATTTGAGGGATAGTAGAGTGGAGTGGTAATCTGACTCTGTAACATACTTGTATTTATACATATTATTCAGGGGATGAGCTGGTGAACACGACGCACTTGTCACATTGTGTGTGAGCCTTTGTCTTTGGTTGAGTCTCTGGTAACCTAAGATCTCCCTTCGTCTATCATCACTAGACTCTATTGAGATCTAAGGAGGTGATAGGGGAATGGGCGGATCTGTATTCATGTGAAAGTTTGATGAGTTTGTGAAGCTTCAAAAGCTGGATTGAATGTACATTTCTTGTTTGAGACCATGCTACGACATGGTAGACTCCTTTGAGTCTTATCAATTCTGTTGCAAAAAAAAAAAATTTTGGCAATCTCTATGAAAGTGATGTTTATTTTGTGGATTCTGAGAAGCAAAGAGTCAATAAAGGTTTATTTTAAAAATAATGGTTATATATATATATATCGTCAAATATATATATATATATAAATAATGGTTATAAAATGACCCCGAGGTGCGTGCCTCACCGAGCTATGATCAAAGACTTGGAGGGCACAACCCAAATTGGCATCGTTTGGACGTAACTCCCAGCGTGGGCTGCTGACCTAGCATAACCTGGCAGCGGACCCTTCGACTATGGTCTCGAAGAGAAACTAGAGGGGAGGTCTCCCCAATGAAGGGATCTATTCAGGTGGATGTCGAAGGGGTCGGATTAGAAAAATTTTAAAGAAAGGGTGAATATCCCCTCGTTGCGCAACCAACGAGGGTAACCACCGATAAGCAACAACGTGGTGGGCCGCAACTCCGGTCTGATCAGCAAGACTGTGGTGGGTCAGGATGGAGACCGTTGTCCTCTTGTATTAGGCTTCGGGCAGGACGACAGGCAACTTTGGATTGTGATACAAAGAGTTGAACACCCAAGGTCTCGGTTAGGACCCGCGTTTGACGGGTTGAGTTCGTACGTGAACACCAGCCCTGAAAACAACCAACGAATACCTGGACCAAAGACTAAGGGTGTGGGGGAAGGAAAGGTGCGTTGTCACACTTAACTAACTCATGTACTTTAGTACAGATCAAGTATCCCCACTTTCAGTTATTATATTTTATGTGGGAGACCCGGGTTAAAATCCCGGCGGTAATAATGAAAAGTAAGGTGACGGCGTCAATCCTGAAACCACATTTCATTCCGAGATTCGGATTTGACAAATTGCTTGTCGGAAAACACCTTTATGTGCATATAGTTCCCCGAGCGACGGGGACGTCGCATAATGAGGTATGGGATACTGTCAGACAAAATACCNAATTGCTTGTCGGAAAACACCTTTATGTGCATATAGTTCCCCGAGCGACGGGGACGTCGCATAATGAGGTATGGGATACTGTCAGACAAAATACCCTTACAAGGGTATTTTGCCATGTATTTGCATTAGGCACGGTGGCAGCGTCAGCTACCATGACGTAGCCAGTCTGGAACGAGAGGGGGTGTGCACGCTTGGCGTCACACTGAGAGAAAATTCCTCGGCCACTGAGGCCGGGGAAAAATCGGTGAGAAAATTTCGTGTGTGCGCKCGTTATTATGACGCACGYCATGGTGATTAGGATTAGTAGTAATACCCCTCGACAGAAGAGGTCGAGGGGTCARTTGGGCTGATGATTGTGTCAGGTAGGTCTATGACACGCGCTGAGACTTGGTCCAGTGYCTGYCTTCCCTCCGGTACTAGGTGTCCAAAAATTTTCAGTCTTTGTCTTCCCCTACTCAGCCTCCTGGTCGAGTATCCGCCTCACCTACTTCTACTTGGTGTGSTACCARCCTGTCYGCCACTTGAGTATCTACCSTGSTGCGACCCTCGAAGCCGCAACCACGRCTAAGTACCGGCCCTTCGGGCCTTCCGTTGAAATACGTGCCCTTGCGGGTCACGCGAACGCSAAGGCRGYAGACATTTAGATAGGCACGCAGATTGGCAAACATGCATGATCACGTAGGCTWGAATGGGCTCAGGCCATTGGTTGGACTGAGCCGCGTTACTATATATATACTAGAGTTACTCCCCTTCTAAYCGAAGTGGGAGCTAGCTCAGTAGGTTGCAGTAGAGGGTTGATAGGCGGAGGATCTGGSGATCAAGGCCCGCCGCCCTCCGAGCTAGCTCCCTTTTGACATGGAACTCTATTTTTCGTTTTGYCTAGGATTGAACAGCCGGGATTCGAACCCGCGACCTTACAAGTAGGAGTTAGTATAGTTAGTTGTTAATTAGAACCGAGTGTCGTGGGGCTCCTACACTTGGCAAGGTAGGGATGGACCATGAGGTTGAATCACGTTAGATTCGTTGTTTTAGTTTTTCTTTTACTTTTTTTTGTTGTTTTTCTCGACGGCCTACCTGCCCCGAGGYGCCCAAATGAATCGCGCTCCGATATTGGGAMGGATTCACCTAGTAAGGAGCCAACCAACTGCGCCTGGTAGGATTCCGCAGTAGGTACAGGGCTTCAAGCTCGGCCGCTCGGTACTATTCCGCACACTCGAGGAGGCCAGATCGCGAGAAAGGGGGTAGCGCGCGGAAGGCAGGGCGCAAAAAGAGGAGAACGYGCGAGAAGAAGAAGAAGAAGAAGGAATAGRAAGGAGAAGGGAGTAGGAGAAGGAAGAAARRGGATTCAAYGCAACAGGGGAGATRGTTGTAATTATSGATCTTGAACGAGGGATGCCTAGTAAGCGCAAGTCATCTGCTTGCGATGATTACGTCCCTGCCCTTTGTACACATYGYCGTCGCGCCTACGATTGAATGGGCCKRTGAAGTRTYTGGAACTGTGGTCTTGACGGTTGCCGCCGGAAAGAGAGATCCACCTAAGGCGACGACGACGGCACTGACCGTGACAACARACGAAAGAAAGGGGAGCAGGGGGAGAGGAGAGAGAAAGAGAGAAGAAGAGAGGGAAAGGAGAACACTTACCTGACCGTGCGACGAGCACGACAACGACGAGTGGACGGCGACGGTGACGAGGACGAAGTGGAAGAGTGAGATCAGGTGAGTTCCAACCTCGTGGCAGCTCTCACTATACTCCCAAGATAAGATGAGCAAAAGCGAATGTATCTACCGCTAAACACAAGTAGATACACTACTACACGTATGTGTGTTTTCACGTGTGTATTTATACGCGCGTCTGTGTGTGTGTGAAAGAGAGAGCTCCTCTTCTTCCCCTTCACAGTCCATCTCTTCTTCACCCTCTCCCTGCCTGACTTCTCTGTATCTGCGGACTACGTAAGAGAGAAGGGAGAGAGTGGGAGAGGAGAAGAGAGAAGATCGAGGTGTGTGTGTGCACGATCCGAGGGTTGGCCTCGCGCAGCCTCCTTCTACGAATAAGCAAAGATCGATCGCATCGCCCACTACAACATCGAACGATTCACTACTGTGTGCGTGTGTGTGCGTGTGTGTGTGATTGTGAGAGAGGTGAAGAAAGAGGGAGACTATAAGTCTCCAACCTTGGCCAACATCTAAGTCTCCGCCCCTCGCCTCACTCTACTTGATCAATAAAACGAGCAAATCAAAAGTGACGGTGTATATCTCCCCGTTTCGGCAGAAGATTCATTCCGTTTTTTGCTCATCCTATCGATGTAGTATGTGTATGTGAATGTGTGTATGTGTGTGAGTGGGCATGCGTGTGAAATTGAGAGAGAAAAGGGGGGGAGCACCGACTGTAGACTCCAGGAGGAATCCACCTCCCCGCATGAATGTATCAGACGAGGGAAATGGCTAAGTATACATTCTTCATCACTTTATATTATTATCGTTATTACTATTATTATTTTATTATTATTATTATTATTATTATTATTATTATTATTATTATTATTATTATTATTATTATTATTATTATTATTATTATTATTGATGGTAGAAGTAGTAGTAGTTGTATCATTCCTATAAGTATCGTAGTGGGCCTTCGCAGGAGAAAGAAGAAGGGGGAGAAGAAGGAGAAAGAAAGGGGGGAGAGGACGACTTACGTGTCGTCTGCCTGGCTCGTTGAAAANGTGGGCCTTCGCAGGAGAAAGAAGAAGGGGGAGAAGAAGGAGAAAGAAAGGGGGGAGAGGACGACTTACGTGTCGTCTGCCTGGCTCGTTGAAAAACGCGCTTATGCCAGCATCATACCCCGTGTGCTAACGTCTCGGCATGCTGCGTATCGAGACGAAATGTGTGAAGGTGTTGTCTAGCCGTGTTGAAGGAGGTATCGCGATCTGGAAGGGAGGATCTGCATTTATTGCCATCTGAATGGTGCCATGCAGCAGGTATAGTCCGCTCGACCTCCGCTACTTACCTTATGCGAAGGCGGAGACTTGCGGGGTGTGAGATGAGTCAGCCGATGACGTCACGAGGGTGGGCTGTCATCCGCCCGACTTGTTGAAAGCTCGCAAATGCCTGTCGAATCTCCCGTGTTGTGGTCGCAGTATGCTAGGCATCGTAACTCGATCATGTTGCTCTGCGGCTCCACTGAGTTGGTAGATGGCTAGGAAGACTATCGTCCTCTATATCTCGGGGATCACCGGCATCGAACTCTGTTGGTGGCTGCGGCGACAAGGAAAATGAGGGTAGGTAAAGTCCCCTATCTCGCGATTAGCCTCAATGTACTTTCGTAAATAGGAGGAGCGAAATCAAAGGAAATCTAACGCCAGAATGTGGAGAGGTGCATGTGTCTGTGTGCGTTAGTATAGGAGTGTATGTGTGTGTATGTGTGCGTAAGAAAGACAAAGAGAGAAAGAGGGATTGAGAAGGAGAGGAAAGAGAAAGAAAGGAAGGAGAGAGATTGGGCGGTGGCCAGAGGTACTTACCGTAGTGCCATTGCTCCAAGCTTCGTCTGCAAAGTACCTGCAACAGGTACCAACATCACAGGTCAGTATCTGGTACGAAAAGGAGAGAGAGTTCCCTTCCTCCTTATCGTCTGTGTATGTCCAAGCGCCAGGCTCCTCCGTCTTCTCGTGATGAGCCTGATGTATGTTTGATCTATGTCAAAACATCGATTTGGGTTCGTATTAGTATTCTGGCATTCTGTTTCGCTACCATATACTACGTGGCTAATAATACGTCAGTGGGGTCGATCCCGATCAGGTGAGGATCTGTATCTAAGTCTTCCAGGTCGGTTCTTGTTCTAGTCTACACCTTACTATATGCAACGCGCATACACATAGTGAAAGAGGGGAGATCGAGAGTGGAGGGAAGAGATGGAGAAGGAGAAATGGAGGAAGAAAGGAGAGGAGATGGAGAGAGAAGGATGGGGGAGAGGGATGAAAAGAGAAGAGTTCTTCTCCTTCCTCTTCTCAGACCGCCATCTCCCTCTCACCCTCTCGTTATCTGACTACACTACTATGAGTGAGAAAGAGAGAGAGCTTGGTGACATTGGATCCCGAATCGACATTGGACTTCAGACAATTTGGGACTAGTAACGAGACTTGGTGTT